GGGCGCTCGGGCCCGCCGCGGGCCGAGAGTTTAAAAAAAAAAAAAAGTCTGTGGTTCTTATATTTCAGCTGATGGCAGTTTTCAGCCCGTTCCTTGCAAGGGCATTCCAGCAGCATTCGCTACAGCGTGTGGGCTCTATAGTTGTACAGATAGTTTTAAAAATAATCAGTAAGAAACATTCATTTCTAGTGAGTGGAAACAAAACCTACTCCTGTTGACTTCAGTAGAAGCAGAATGGGGCTCTGGCTTTGGTCCCTGGCAGACCTTCATTGGAAGGAGTGATGGGATCTGATCTGTGATTCCCAATAATCACAGTTCCATGTCACAAATGCCTGGCAGGAGGTGCACTTGTGGAATTGGGCATCAGATCCCAGTCTTGCCCTATTGCCATTGCAGAGGGAGCCTGGCAAGTTGAGTGCTTGATAGTCGTCTGATTGTCAGCAGAATTGGGACTGCAGTTTTCCAGCCCTGGGGCTGTCCCAATCTACAATCAGTCTGTCAGTTGGCAGGGACTGCACCTGGATTCAAGCGCTGGGTCAGTCCCTGCCAGCCAATGATCAGTTGATTGGGACTGCGTCAGCGCTCGAGTCCCCAGACTCTCATTCAGTTAATCATCAGTTGGCAGGGACTGCCCCAGGGATTGAATGCCATGAAATCCCTGCCAGCCCACAGCAGATTGGTATAGCCCTGGGGCTGGAACTCCGGGGCAGTCCCAAGCCTAACCAGGATCACTTGATTAGGACTGCTTGAGGGCTTGAGTCCCTGCTACATGTTAAATTTAAGGTACAATGGAAGCAGCTGTAACGTTACTACCAGGGATCCGGGTTTTCCATTTCCGATGGAAAAACAGAAAAAACCACTTATTTCCCATCTTTATCAGAGATACACACGCAGCCCCGCTGTGCCTAGCCATGCTGGGTTATGGCTGCAGGGCTGCAGAGGCCCTGCAGGAGGGAAACAGGGTGGGAGCTCAAGTCTGCAGCCTGCCCCAGCACATCTGGAGGGTGCAAGTCCCCTTTCCCCCAAGAGTGCATGTGGCCCCCCTGGGAGCCAGCCCTGCCCCTGCCCGCAGCAAGCAGCAGTGGGGGAACTGGCTCTCTGCTCCTGCTGCAACTGCCTTCTGTTGGGGGCAGAAAGCTGCAGACCTGGGTCCCTGGCCCTATAGTCCTGGCAGCTGAGGGCCCCCCTCTGGCAGGGATGGGGGGCAGGTGCTGTGGGTGGGGGGACAAGGGGCATAAGGGGGGGCAGGCTGTAGTGAGGGGAAAGTGGGGCACCAGCAGGGCTGTGGGGGGCCATTAGTTTTAATAACAGATTTGGAGGTTTTTATTAGAGAATTTATGATTTAAAAAAAGGAAAACCAGGATCCCTGGTTATTATACACAGTTTATATTAAAAGAATTTAGTGGGTTTTATTTTTTATTGTGCCATTAATCTCCTGAATTTGTGGTCAGTTTGCTCTTTAAGGGGATTAACTGGTTAATCATGTCTTAAGTGTAAGATCTGCCACAGCCTTTACAGAAGAAAATTCAAATTCATAAAACTCCTGCTTGTTTGAAGTATTTGAGTCAGTGGGAGGGACCTTGACTGCATGGCCATAAACTATCGTGGCAACCTTCTAGTCTTGAAGCCAAACTTGTTTGCATGGACAGCAACCTACTTGGGCCCACGTCAAAAAAGAGACTCTGATGCTTCAATGTTGAGTGTTGCAGTTCCTAACTTTTACACACGTGGCCCCCAGAGCAGAAATCAGCACTTGAAACGAGGTTCCTAGACTCCCTGAATAGTCCATGAGGAGAGTTAAGCATCTCAGCTCAGACTGGTATCTGCAAAAAAACCCAAAACAAACCAAAACAAAAAACCCCAATAACCACTGAGCAGGAATATGCCTAGACCTACGGCGGGGGGGGGCAAAATACAACCCACAAGCCAAATCTGGCCCACCAAAGGAGTTTGTCTGGCCTGTGGTGGGTCCATCAGTTCAGTCTGGCCTGAGCGCAGGGGGTAGCCCAAGCCAAGGTGTGTATACCCAGTCCTGCTGCCCCTGGGCATGTGTGGGGGCTGGGGCAGTAAGGCAGCCACGCTCCATTTCCTGGCAGTGGTGGCTTCTTCTGGTGGCCACAGCTGGCACTGGCCCCACAGCCCAAGTGCCCCAGCCCATTAACCCCACACCTGCCACTGAGGCAGGACCCATTGCAGATGCAGCATGCAGCCAGGTGGCTGGAATGGGGCTGGAAAGACCAGAGAATCTTGGGGAGGTAGGAGCATAGGGCCAGGGCTGGGGCAGAGCCATGGTCTGCTACCCACACACCCCTGCAAAGGGCAGAGGTTCATGGGCAGGGGCATGAAGGGAGAAGAGTGTGGCTCTGCCACGGCCCCACATTGTCACTGCCCCAAGATCCTGGACCTGGCCCCAGCCACAGCTCCCTCCCTGCCTGCAGGCCTACGACATCCACCTGTCCACGTGCCCTACCTGTGCTGTTCCCGGCCAGTTTCTGTGGAGATCCCAGGATTGCAGGGCAGTGACAGCACAGGGTTGGGGCTGGGGCAGAGCCCCAGTTCTATGGGCAGGGACGTGAAGGCAGCAGAACGCAGCACTGCCCTAAATCTTCACTGTCACTGCCCAGCAATCCCAGGGCCATGGCCAGGTGGGGCCCTGCCTCTGGGGCCAGGTCTTGGGGTGGCCCCATGCTGTGACCACCCTGTGATCTTGGCCTCTACTGTACATCCTTCTCCCAAACACTGCTACCTGCAGTAGAAAACCATTCTCCAATCTCTCAGTTTTAATCCTCAAAGGGAATTTACAAAACACTCTTCACAGACGAGTCTATGAACTTCACATCATCAACCTCCCGGATACAAAAAATCATTGACTAAATATAGACATTGGATTTATGACACATTGCCTAACATCTGACTCCCCAGGTACCTCTCCACTATGTACCAGCTGCCTTCATTCCCCAGCCCCCCAACCTGTCTTTCACCCACTGACTCCTCAGTTTACATCTTCACTGACTGCCTTTCTTGCATGCATACCAGCGTCTGGCTTCTTTACTATTCATTCCATCCAGGAAGAGCATACGCCAGGCTGAGGAAGCAGCTACAGTTGGTAAAGGGTATTTAAACCCGAAAGCTTGCTAAGAAGAATTTTTCCAGCTATTTGAGTTTTACCCAGAAAAAACCTTGTCTGCCTATGTCCTTAGACCAACACAGCTACAGCCTACACCCCTGTAGCTGGAAATTACGAAGACAAAGGGCAGAAAAGGAGGGGAGGCAGGAGCGAAAAGAATAGTGTAAGAAGTCAGGTCAGGCAGGTACCTGGTGAATCAGATGTCAGGCAGGTTATAGTGTGTCATAAATCCAATGTTTATATTGAATCCATGATTTTTTTGTATCCAGTAGATTTATGAAGTGAAGTTTGTGGGCTCCTCTACAAAAGGTGTTTTGTAAGTTCCTTTTAAGGATTGGAACTGAGAGATCAGAGAGGGAGTAATTGTCTTGGATATATTATATTGGATATAATATATTTGAGGCAATAAATGGGTAATGTATATGGATATATTACACATTTATTGTAAAGAAAATAGTGTCTTCACATGCTCAGAGCTAGGAATTCTCTCTCATCTTAGTTGGAGGCTTTTTGTCTTTCAGTAACATTTTGAATATACTAGGTCTTATTTATCTTCTGATTTCTTTGTGTGTGGATGCACTACAGTTTTATATACCTACTGACAGAATTATCAATCAGTGTGTTGACCTAAAAATAAATAAAAAATATTAGGGTAATTCTAACTATAATCAAATCTTTACATGATCAGACCTTTAAAAAATCTATAGAGTTCTATTAACAACAGTAACTTTAAAAAAACCCTTCTGGAAACATGGTATGTTTGTATGTATTCATGTTTTACATATGCTATATAATTCTTCTTCAGCTATGGAGCAAAAATCCGAGCACCCCATGCTCTGGTGATGACTTTTCTCTTCAAGAGTGGAAGGTATTTTCATTAGTTTTTCCCTTGCATTCTTGTTGAAGGACATTCTCCATAAGGTTGAGAGATTTGTTTTACATATATCCATCCTTAAAAGACTGAACCTGGGAAAACACCAGCTACATCCAGATCAGTTGTTTATTTTGCTAACCATAATGGGGAGCTCACTTTTTTAGAATGCACATTGCAATTCAACTTGTTGTTTGAGAGGCTTAGGATATTGCTGTTCCAGTGCTCATCTGGACCTCATCTACAAGAGACACATTCTGCCAGATGGCCAGCCACCAGGACAAAGCTCAGCATAGACAAGGAATGGTGCAGCTTGCCCCTCTTCAGTTTACCTTGTTTTCAAAGTGCACTGGCACTAGTCTACACTAGATGTTTGCATTGATATAGTTAAACTAATGGCTGTCATTTATCTACAATTAGGGCATACCCACAGCGTAAATACAATATTAACTGTATTCTGAGCAGTGACCTAGAAGTGAAATGGGCTCAGTCTCTTGCCATGTTTTGTCTGGGCCTTTTTCAAAAACAGGTTACATATTTGAACTACAGTAGTGCTAGGGACTAACCAAAAAAAGAGCCCTTTGTACTGGGCTTCAGAGTAACTGAACAGGAGAGACTCTGCCCCAAAAATCGTACACTTTTAATAGACACAATGGACACAGGGTCAGGATGAGACAGGATTCATACATATAAGCAGCATGAATAGTACCATGGCCATCTTTCTCCTTTACTAACAGTTGTTTATTTTGTTTGTACAGTCTGAGAGAGAAATTGAAAGCAATTGCTCAGGCCACTTACACTCATTCCAGAAACCTGGCCTACTTCGTGTTCACTTACAAGGGTCTGATGGCACTACAATCCCGACTACAAGGAAAGAACTTCCAGTTTCACTCCTTCTTGGCAGCCTGCATTGGGGGCTGGTTAGTGTTTGGTGAAAACAATGCTATCAACAGCCAGGTAAACAAATGCATTTGCTCCCTCTTTTTACATTCCTGAATGCCAACACATGCATGTAGACAAGGTTCTTTGGGTGAATCATATATCTTTTATTAGACCAACTAAATAGCTGGAGAAAAATTTTTAAGCAAGCTTTCAGGTTCAAAAACCCTTCGTCAGGCTAATGAAGTTTCAGCAGTTCACGTGTGCTCTTCCTGTATGGAATGAAAAGTAAAAAAGCCAGAGGCTGTGCTGGTATGCATACAAGACAGGCAGTCAGTGAAAATGTAAATTGAGGAGTCAATGGGTGACTCCTAGTCTTGAAGCCAAACTTGTTTGAATGGACAGCAAGCTACTTGGGCCCAAGTAAAAACAAGAGACTCTGATGCTTCAATGTTGAGTATTGCAGTTCCTAACTTTTACATGCTTGGCCCCCAGAGCAGAAATCAGCACTTGAAACTAGGTTCCTAGACTCCCTGAATAGTCCATGAGGACAGGCTGGGTGGGGGGGAGAGAAGGGGGATGAAAAGTAGAGAAGTACCTGGAAAGTCAGCTGTCAGGCAGGTTATAATGTGTCATAAATCCAATATCTACATTTAGTCCATGCTTTTTAGTATCCAGCAGGTTGATGAAGTGGAGTTCATAAGCTCGTCTCTGGAAAGTGTTTTGTAAGTTTCTTTTGAGGATCAGGACTGAGAGATTGGAGAGAGAATGGTTTTCTTGTGAGAAATGTGCCCCCGCAGGTAATTGGGTGTTCCTATCTTTGATAGACTTCCGGTGTGCATTCATTCTGGTGCGCAGTTGGTGTTTGGTCTCACCTATGTATTTTCCATCTGGGCATTTGGTGCATTGGATGAGATACAGATGCACCTCCAGAAATATAATGTAAGATCCAGGAACGCTGATGGCTCTATTGTGGGGTGTAGTGATTGTGTGGGGGGCGGAGATGTGTTGGCAGGTTTTGCATTTCTTGTCATGGCATGGTCTGGATCTATTTGATGTGTTCTGGGCCTGAGGAATTTTGCTTCTGGTGATGAGGTTGGTGAGGAAACAAACTTCCATCCAGCAGGAGCACACATCAACTGCTGAAACTTCCTTAGCTTGACAAAAGGTTTTTGAACCTGAAAGCTTGCTTAAGAATTGTTCTCCGACTATTTAGTTGGTCTAATAAAAGATATCAGATTCACCCAAAGAACCTTGTCTACCTATGTCCTTAGACCAGGGGTTTTTAACCTTTTTTGTTCCATGGACCCCTTTGGCAGTCTGGTGAAGCCTATGGACCCCTTCTCAGAATAATGTTTTTAAATGCATAAAATAAAATACATAGGATTACAAAGGAAACCAATTATATTGAAATACAGTTACCAAAATATATTCATTTTGCCTACATTCATAATTGAAGGAAATGTTAAATTTCAGTTAGAGGCTAGTGAAAATAAAGATGTAATTTTTTTTTCCCATCCAAGTTCACGGACCCCCTGAAATCTATCCACAGACCCCTTGGGGGTCCGTGGACCCCAGCTTAAGAACCCCTGCTCTAGAGGCTGCATTTCAGGGTCATTGGACAAGGGGCCTGCACCTGGTTGAGCCGCTGATGAGAAGCC